AATAAATTAGTTCGTTAGTTGACTGTCTTACTCACAAACCCACTGCCTAGTTATTTCATTGTGCGTCAAATAATAGTTTTCACACAAAAAACTATTTTTTTCTGTGTGTGTAAAAAACAGTGCAAAACTCAAAATAAAATACTTATGTACGTGTATTAAATGTAATGTAGACGGTATGTAGTAGTTATTGAGAAGTAAGTTGTTCTGTAAGTAGAAGTCATTACCAAGTTTTTGCTGGGTTGCCACAAATATTTGTTATTCCAAAAACACTTTTAATGCTTTTGTAAACACTTATGGAAGTCACTGTACGTACATATTTAAATATGAATGTTTATTATATACATACATATATCTATGTAGGTGTACTAATACACGTGTGTGTATGTCATTAGGGTGACCCCGTTTGTATGGAAGAAAAAAGGTATCAAAGTTCCCAACTAAAATTAAAGTTTAATTGATTCTAAAATACCGTCTCTAAAATTTTTGTCCTGGCATCAATATTTGGTGAGTTGGATAAGAGGATAAAAAGAGGAACTTTTTACGTTTTTCATGATTTTTCATAATATATATAAAAGTGAATGTGTGTTTATTTGTTTGTGGGTTTGTTTGTTTGAAGTTTATAGACGGCTAAAGCCCCCTTCACACGAGCACACAAGTAATATGATCTGTCAAAATTTAGTGTAGAAAAGAACGGATGGGATCGTCTAAATGCAATATGTAACGAAATCGTCACACATTGAGAGAGAATACGGAAGGAAAATATGACAGTCGTATGGCTCTCTTCATTTTTTGAAATGATTCAAAAAACAAGCAAGTAGCATTAGATCAGGGATGTATTTTTATGTAAACACATAAAAAAAAGTGAAACAGCTAATTCATCTTACTTTGTTATTGTTTTATACCAATCGTGTAAACACAAAAAATATAAATCATACGACTTTTATTCTCTTTTTGGTCATACGGATGGAATTTCAATTTACTTTTTCATTAGACTTGTCGTACGTAAAGTGTGACTGTATGAAGGGCCCTTAAACGGCTGGATCGATTTTCTTCAAATTTTAACAGTACCTTCCTGTATATCTGGAAGGAACTATAGGCTACTTTTTATTTTAAAATTTCAAGTAGGTGAGGTGCCACGCCTACTTATTTAATAACTATTAAAAGCCATATATCTTGGAAACTGGTACAATTAGAGTCCCCAAACTTTGACATTCAAATCATTATATCTCGGAAAATGTAACAGATTGAGCTCTCAAATTTGTTCGGAGCCACATAAGTGTCAATATGATTAGTTAGGATAAAAAGTGGGCGGACTAGCGGCAGGGGTCGTGGCACCTCCCATATTAATTAAATACGCTAATTCGTTTACCTTGGAAACTATTAGAGTTAAAAGCTTCAAATTTTTCACTATGAACTTTAGCATCCATGTAAATATTTTGGGTAATAAATTGGCGGAGTACCAATGGGGGGAGCGGCACCTCTCATATGAATTAAATACAATATAATATTTTCTCTAAAAAACTAATAGAACTAGATTCCTAAAATTTTGCAAAAAGAAATTTCATTTTCATCTAAACATTTTGGGGAAAAAAAGCGGACTCTCATCAGGGGGTGGCTTGGAACCCCCATATAAATTATATAGAATAATTTGTATATCCGAGCTAATGTAGAAGCTAGAATCTTCAAATTTTACATGAAGAACTTTGACATTCATGTGAACATTTAGAGAAAAATGGGCGGACTTTCAATGGGGGGATTGGCCCCTCCCATATGAATTAAATACAATACAATATTATTTACATTTTTCATAGCTTACATTAAAATCTTTATTAGCGATCTTAAAAATTGGCGAACTTGCAATAATTTGAGTGGCATCTTTCATATGTAAGTGGGTTTTTTTTTTTTTTGCTTTTAGGGTAGCAAAGCACACTGGGTATAGCTAGTTTTTTCATATTTCTTCCAAAGAAAAAATACTAAATATTGGTAAAGGTGCTTGATAGACGCTTTAATTTGCATATCAGAAATTTTTGTGTAAGAGCAAATGTATTCGAAATTTCATTATTTTTCGGTAAATTTTCAGATTTTTACATTTTCACACAGGTAAATTTAATATAATTCGTTGAAATTAATATAAAGGTTGAACTCACCAAAATCGAATAATTTTTTAATCGTTTTTATCTACAAAACTAATTGACCAATTAATGTTTTGTATTTGAATAGCCTATAGTCTCCTAATTTTACTCTAATAAATTGAATTTTTATATTTTATGCCCTAGTTTTGTAGGATTCAAAGCACTCTTCTTCATGAATTTTACCTCTTGTAAAATAAGATTTTGATTTTAGAACACAAGAACAAATATTTGGCTTAAAAAGGGCCTTTTGGAAATTTGGGCTTTATTTTCTATTTACAATAATGTGGACAAATGCTACATAATATTTTTAATAATTTTTCCTATCATGGAATACAATAATTTAACGCTTTTTGGTATCAAACATTTTTATTATATCCGTGCAAAATAAATTTTCTTCGAAAAAGCCTCTGAAGCCATTTTTTCAAAACTATATGCTATTTAAATACAAAATTTTATTTTGATTGGACAACTAGTTTTGTAGATATCAACGATTAAAATTGATCGATTTTGGTGGGTTCAACCTTTATAACCTCATTAAATTTGACCGAAACTTTTTAGATTTTCAAAATTCAATCTAGATCGTATTTTATTTGAATATATCGAAGCCTACGTAGTACGTACGTTACTAAAACATTGCAAAATAATGTAAACAATAACATACAAACCGTTATTAACATAGCAAGTATAACAAAGGAGTACATGTTTAGGATAAATTGTGTTAAAAATTTAGTTAAACTGAAAATTATAATTTATATTCGAATGAAACCATAAAGCGCGTATACTGATTTACATATTATGTATATCAGTTAAATAAATACAGCTAGTACAGTATCCGGGAGAAAATAGGGTTTAAAAATTTTAAATAAAATACAAAACGTCGACTTTTGAAAAACAGAAAAAACCGTTTCGATAAAATTGAAACCGTCTTTCATAGATCTTAGTATTATTTTTAACAGAGGTATTTCTCTGCAATCCGCAATAATCGGATTTGCTTCAAATTCAGTTTTAACAGAACCAACGAAAAGACATTTATTTTTTTAGTGATCATTCAGACAACTTAAAATATTTGTGTATGTCACAACAAAAGAACTACCGGAAATTATATTCAATATAATAAAAATAAAAACCTCAAAACATGGAAAAGTAAACCAAACAACAATTCTATTCAGGTGCAATCAACAACCGAAACATTTAAAAGAAAATTAAGAGACAAAGAGTTAATGTCTTCGTATGTGAGTTCATGTACATACGTACATATGTATTAGGGTTGTCAATTATTCGTATTTTAAATTATTCAAATAAAAATTTACAAAAATTTGTTCATTCGAGTAGTCGATTAAATTGTAAAAATTATTCGATTAAATTGTAAAAATTATGAATAATTTAATAAAATATAAATAAAAACTGAATAATTAAACTAAAATTAACCAGAAGAACAAAACCGAAAGTAATAATGCATTAAAAGTGAATGTAAATAAATTGAGATCATATAAAAATAAATCATTTTTAATAAAAAATTAAAAATAACTTTCGTTTTCTGAATTTTAGTAAAGCTTTTGAAATTCGACTTTGACCAAAAGACAAAGGCCTATGAAAAAGGTTAAAATCGGTTCATTATAAATAAAACTTTAGAGTTCATAATTATGTTAAATATCTACAAAAATCGGCACAGCTTGAACAAAATTTCCCTCAGCATAAATAACTTTAATGTCGACATAAATCTCTTCTCCTAATTTTCTAAAGCTCGGCCTTAGCCCCACTTTCAGCAAATAATTTTGTCAACCAAACTTAAATATTATTAACTTTTGTCAATAAAAGCAGTTCATAATATTTAAGCTGAAACTTTTTTCTTTGCTTAAGCAGGTTTATTAATGTTTCTATGTTCGCTTATTGCATAAATTCACTTATAAATCTGGAATCATTATATTTTTAAAACAATCAGTGAAATATATCTAATTTTTTTATAAATTGCAAAAAGTTGTAAAAAATTACTTTGTGTTTCAATTAAAGCAGATCTTTAGATTTATTGTATTAATATAATTCTTTATTCAGTACTATAATAAATATTTGCAAAAATGAAACATTAGAATATTATTCAAATATTCGATTAATCGAGAAAAATTGTTCGAATTATACTCTATTCTGAATTGGAAAAATTTTATTCGTTCGAAGAAACGACATATTTCTCCTCGATTAATCGAATAATTTTTATTTGAGTAACAACCCTATTACATAGGTACATATTTTTATGTCACTTATGATTTTATAGTCTACCGTACCTTGATTTATTGCCTCCAAAACTTTCCATTGAGCCTATAGTGAACGGAGATACCAATTCTAAGGTACCTTCATAGAAAATTATGAATATTTATATCAGTAGTACGAAATTGTGTTTGCATTTTTATAAATATTTTTTTTTTGCAAAAGTATTAAATTTTATTTATTTTAAATAAAGATACTCTTGTTTTAATTTAAAAAATATTTTTTTATTATCAGCTGTGACCGCTTTTATTCTATTGAAATCTCCTAATCAACGTAATTTAATCTTAATCAAACCTAGCGTAAACTAAACATATTTTTAGTGTCGTTTTACCGTTATTATTTATTTTTATGTTTTTACTATAACTATGAAATTGTATTTAACTGGCGGTTATATGTAAATGTTAGAAAAATTTTAAATTAAAAAAAATCAAAAATTAAAAACACTATGGTAAAGGGTATATAAGATTGGACACAACCGAATATACTTAGCACTCTTACCTGTTTCTTTAGTTTTTGGCAAAATCTAGGTATATATCCATATAGCCTTTCGGGCTAGTAAAAAATTATTTCATTCAACTTACCTTTTTTTAAGAAAGAAAGAAAAAGTTCTGTTTTCCACAATTAAAGTTTTTACTACATAAGAAATTTTTTTAAGCGCATAAATACTTTTTTATAATATAATTAAGCATTAGATTATTGTCTTGTACTGGAACTCATGTAGGAAAGAAATCGGGATAATGGGGAAACTGTGTTAATATTACAAGCAACACTTAGATTTGGTAAATTTTGAGTATTGCGACAGTACGTACTCCAACCATTCCAGTTTCGAAAACCTTTGAGTTCAAATATTCTTTTTGCACAGTGGACGTCATCGGCAATATCGTCATTCAAGAAATCTACAGATTAAGAGAAAGTTCAAAGTGAGTTAAGGAAGTCGTCGATTTGTTTATACATACATATATGAGCAATTATCGAAGTTTTTTTAATTTTAGAGTTAAAAAAAATCAAAACGAACTGATGGCCGCAGATGCTAGTGCTCAATGCTACTTTTCTTAGACTTAGAATTTATTCTTAGGTTTAAGTTGAAATAAATAAATAAATAAAATCAAAAAATTGATTTGATGGCACATTTAAAATATTTGATAATTTTGACGAATTTTGAGCATCATCCAAGATGTGCCTTGGCAAAATGTGTTTAGATAAAAGTGACGTCATTGTAGCTTACAAGGACATTTTAAATACATTTGAGATCCCAAACCATTGTGTTTGTCATTACCTTCATATCTATTTATTAAATGTTTGTATAAGTCGATGTTTGATATATAAAATCGCAAAAATAAAAAATTTAATTTTGCAAAATTTTTAAAAAGTTCATAAAATTTTTGCATTCGAATATTTTTGCATGCTTCTCCGATTTTATATTTTAAAATAACAAAAAACTCAATTTACGCAATAATTAAAATTATTTCCTATATAAGTGCGAATGTGCCGCGCTAAAAACCGATATTTTAAAAAATTTACGTTCAAGTTTACCAACTTTTGTAGCTGTCGTACCCATCTCCCATTCAGGGCACATTAACGAGATATATGCCATACTGTGTATTATTACATCAGCTAACCACTGTTGTCCCAATTTTTGTATTTTATTAAGGGGCGTCTGCGCCCGGTATTTCAACATCCAAGTTCTAATACGTAAAGTGATATCACACGGATAAGCTTGTAAAGAATTTATCTCCTAAGTGTCTTTAGTTAGCATTATAACGAATAGTGTCCAAAAGTTTAAAGCTATGGACCAAAAAATAAAAAGAAAAAACTAGAAGTGACACACGTTTTTTTTTTTTAATTTTGTAAACTTTCAAAACCGATTACGTTTAGAAATGAAGACCTAGTGTTTTACAATTTTGCAATTTTTAGGCTGGGAGTCTTGTGTATATAATGCTGTAAAAAATTTGTTTGACATTTTACTCTTACCAAAGTTATTAACAATTTAGTTCAATTTCAAAGGAATTAAAAAACTTTGATAATTGCTCATATAGCATTTTCCATATTGTCGCCTAAAATGCAAACGGCCCTCTAACATATTTAAAATTTTACTTCAGAAGCAATTGAAAAAAATGGATTAATTGGACTTTCTGCCTTTATTATTTAAACGTTAATTTTGGTCTAATATTTTGTGTGCATTTGTTTTGTGTACGTTTGCGTATTAGGTGACGGTATGTTCCATAGTTTTAATATTGCATATACAACAATATGTGGTAGCACTAAACTTATATGTAAACTTAATTTTTATGCAAGTTTCACTAAAGTCAGGATTTACAGAACGAAATTATGTTATATTCTAATAGGTTAACACGATTTGGTTTGCCTGAAAATTTTCACTTTTGTCAAAAAATATAAAAAATTTAAATTTGTGTAATAGAAACTGGAACAAAAGGTTGTAGATTTGGAAGCCTACAGCAAAAAGAAGAAATGGATTGATTGCCATGGTTTATATTGAGCAAATAAAAGGGAGGAAAGGGAATAATTATATTTCTTTCTTCTTCTCTATCCCACAAAATCAAAAACTTGCGCAAGAAAAATTGCTCAATGTAAACAAGGACTAAATACGTAATTTCTTCATGTTTTATTAGCTGAATAGAGTTCTAGAGTTTCCAAAAGCTAATTTTTACACAACGACATAAAGTAAAAAATAATTTACATGGCGATTAGAAAACAACTAAGCCGCTCTTTGTCAAAACAAAAAAGTTTATTTATTAAACTACAATGAAATACTTTCGAAAATTTCGTGTTAATACAAAAGACGGACAAGACATTCTAAAATGTTGTATTAAGGGTTAATAATCGCTAAAATTTGTTCTAATATAAGCACAGTAAAAAGTGGTAATTTGAACCATAGTGGTATGTCATCATCAGGGAAACCAAAATATGCAAATACATGTTTTTTTATGGTGCGCCTTATGGACTCATGGATAAGATATTTATACGTTTCAGACAAATTTAAGAATTTTGGCATCGATTTGTTAGCTCATATTTTAGTAGTATATTTTACTTTTTTAAGCTCACTACCAAACAATAATAAGAAGTTGGACTATGACATTGTTTTACAACAATAACATATCCCTCTCCACACAGACGAGTTTTGTGTGAATTCAACCACTTTCACCACTGATTCCAAACCTACATAGTTGCATAAAAACGTACTTAAAAATTTTAGAAAAAATAAAAAAAAAAACATTTAAATTTATTCTTTCACAGATTTTTTAATCTTTTTATTGCACATTTGAATTGAAAACAATTATTTAACACATTTTTCAATTTGTTTATTCCCATATTTGCTAAATATTATGTTTATTTTAAATTTATTTCCCATTTCCAATACTCAAATTCACAACTTAGTTTTTTCTACTTTTATTTGAATTCCTCAAAAATTAATTGTCAAAAAATTAAAAAATATATTTTTTCGTTTACAAAAAATAAAACTATTTCGGGCTATTTAACGGTGTAAAAATGCGCAAGAAAATTAAAAAATGTGTTGTGTGTGTAAGAAAATGTGTAAGAAGTGAAATTATCTTCATATTTTCGCGAAAGTTTTGAAGTATTGTGAGAGAGTCGGATTTTCACCAGTGTGTTGAATTCACACAAAACTCGTCTGCGTGGAGAGGGATATGTTATTGTTGTAAAACAATGTCATAGTCCAACTTCTTATTATTCTTTGGTTGTTATGCACATAGAAAAATAAAAAATTTTAACATTCAGGGATGATAAATAATAAATAAACGAAAAGAAAACTTGATAGTTATAAAATCGATTACTCGGTTTTTCAGTTATTCGGTGTTGGCAGCTGTTTCCCTATGGCGAATGATCACCCTTATAACCTATGCAAATTCAGAAATGGAAGCTTGTGTTGTGATATCCTGTGTTTTTTCCCATACTCGTTCTACAACTAATATTTACACAATATTTTTAAAACTTAAATCTTGTGGACTCCGGTAGGTGAGTGGTTAGTGTTCTAGTCTGGTAGACACTGGTAAAGGAGCGTACAACAGGCCCGATAGAGGCCTAGGTGTATTTTTATTAACTAACACTTGAATCTTGTCAGAAAATGTCAAACAATCATGAAATTTGTATATAAAAAGTTGTCAATATATACATCCCCTTTTCAAACTAACTAAAACTTAAATCTTGTCAGAAAATGCCAAACAATCATGAAATTTGTATATAAATAGTTGTAAATAAATAGGTATATACATACTTTCGCATTTCATTTGGCAGCATGGAAATTTTGACGTATCACATGCTTGGATTTTGTTGCCTGATCCACATTCTTTGCTGCTTATTTGAAAGAGGCCGTATTTATTTTCACCATTCGTTAAAGTAGTCCTTTTTTGTGTATCTCTGTCGCTTTCATGTTCAATCAAACAAATCCCTGAAAAAATATATAATGTTTTATTGGATTATTATATATAATAATTAAAAATATTTACTTCTTTTTCATTTTAAAAAATAAAACATATGGTATATTTACTGATACTGGATAGTAGACTAGACACAAAAATTGTCCAAAGGAGTTCAGATAGCTATTTCTTCTTCATTGTTTCCAATTTAATTAAAAAAAGTATTTTTCTAAGGCCGGCAGTTCTGGACCGATAGTGCTGAAAATTTGTGTCTGGCCTACTATTCAATAGTACTGACCTTGATGCAAATTTCACCAAAATCGAAAAACATCGATTTTAAAAGTTGGGTCACGCAACGGCTTCAGTTTTTTGCCATTTAATAATAAAAATTTTGCACTTTATTGTAAAGGAATCGTAATGTACACAAAATAAGCATTTCATAAAGATATAAAACACAAAAATTGGTTGAAAAATTTAAAAGGTGTGGCAAATTCTCCAGACAATTAACGTGTCTCACAGCACATAAATTCGAAATGTGACAAAAAAATAGTTTTTTTGATATACAAATATACATTAGGGATATAACTATTGACATATTTTGCAAATATGTCACTTGGCATAGCAAAGCCGAATCGAACATTAAAATATATGAAAAACCCCGTTATAATTTTTTCACGACTCTTAAAAAAGTTCACGCACCAACTGTCTGTCCGTCTGTTTATTAAAATCAGTTTTTTGAAGGCCCCATATATCTTCGGAATCCAAATCTTAGAGTGTTTTTGATTCCAAATGACATAAAAAATTATTTTAACTACTTATATAATGATGACCATCACGTGGTGGGATGCCAAAAATTTCGGAAAATTTGTTATATCCCTAATGTAAACTTTGTTAAAGAAATTTAAAAAACTTTGTTAAAGAAATTTAAAAATTTTTGGGAAATCTCATAGGGATTTATGGACAATATATAAGGAAATAGATACTATCGGATATCTAATGGGTATATCAGAATCTATACTGGATAATAAGATAGCATGAAGATAATCACCGTTATTTGGGTAAGAAGACACGGGGATATAACTAGTAATAATATTACTGATACCAAGGCAAAAGCTGGAACTAAGGCGGCTATACTGGATATAGACCAGTTCTGTAGTGTTCCCCTACCGACCATTAAGAACCATATGTCCTATATTTAGCGCAAGAGGGATGGAAGGTATCAACTAATTGTATTGAAGTAAATTTTTATAGATAATTAGAACTTAAGTTTTTGACAATAAATACATAGGTTCTTGATGACAGAGGTACCGCTTAATGTACTCTAATACCTATTTAACAGAATCACAATCTCGTGTCAAGTGACCCAACTCAAAAAATCGATTTGCATAAAATTTGCACCAGTACTATGGAGAGTAGGCCAGACACATAGGTCAAGAACTTTATCGGTCAAGTACTGCCGGAGTTAGAAGGGATCAAAGTTGGACATTTTGGTCATACAGGGTTTTTTTTTCAAATGATTGTAACTTTTCACCTATTTGTTCTGGAAAAATTGTCCAAAGCAGTTTAGATAGATATTTCTTTACTGTTTACATTTTTTTATTTATTTATTTATTTTTTTTTTTAATTTTAAAAATATTTAAAACTACTTAAAAGTTATTTTGAGTTACTGACTACAAACATGCATTTGCATACAAATCCTTGCCCTGGTTATTATACTTGCTTGTTTATTAAAACAAAGCAAAGAAAGAACAACAATTACGAATGAAACTGTGTGTTGTTATTGGCTAGAAACATGAAATTAAGTACAGTGGTTTCCCGGTTTAACGAAAGATATAATGTCGGGCCCATTCGTAAAAACGAAAAATGTGCAAAATATAGAAACATTTTTCGTTAAAATTAGAAACAAACCAAAATTCAAGAAAGACATTTATTTATGTTAGATAAATGGATTTTATTCCAATTTGTAAAATTCTGAATATTTTCGAGTAATTTTGTTAACAAACAATTCCCCGATAGGCGCCCCGGTAGGCTAGTTGGTAGTGTGCTAGCCTGTCAGTCTGGGGGTTGTGGATTCGATTCCCACCAGAGATTTTGCTCTGCTACATTGCTATATGCTGCTTCTCTCTGTAGCTTGAAAATAATCACAATATTCCTTTAATTAAAGATTTTTACGTAAAAATGTATGTACATCTTCTTTTAAAAATCGTGTTTCCGAAAATAATTTTTTATAAGTAAAATGAATTTCTATTGTAAGATTTTTTTGAATTTCAAAGTGTGTACCCATTTAGTTGGATTTAAAATCTCAATTTGTTAGGCTTTCGGATAATTATAAAGTTTAGTGCTCTTTTTGTATTATAATTTTCACGACTTCACAGTGAGACATTTGGCACTTTTAGAACGACATTAATCAAATCTTAGTGATATTGAGTTCTAATTTTAGTTACAGTTAGCAAACAATTGGCCAAACGCTCCACATAATAATCAGCACGATAAGACTGCTGCCACGCCCATTTTTTACAAGTATACATTGAATAAAAATTAAATTTTTGGTCGCATATATCTCAAAACTTTTGCAATCGCTTTTGAATTTTTGTATATTTTTAGAAAGACAATTTTATACAGATAGCTATTTATTTATAAGAAAATGCAAAATATAAATATTTGTAGCACAGTCTCTGCAAAAAGTTAATAAAACCCATTTTCCTATTTAAACACATTTTCACCGTTTAGATACTGTTTTAAACGGGTTAGTATTATCCGATTTGTCTCAAATGCTCTGCATTACAGTTTAGTGCATGCTCTTCTATAATTTTTAAAAACGTTCTTTATATAACCACCCTAATGAATATTAGGGTTGTCCCTCTTAGAAATTTTTAACAAACAATTTATACTCTAATTAAAATTTAAAATAAAATATAAATTCCGCGGTTTTTACAAAGAACAAAATAAATTTATAATCTATGAATTTAAATCTGGAAATAAACAGAAAATTTTACTTTTTAAATAAAGCTATGACACCTGATTGGCTTAAGTAATTTTTTTTAAGAGCACAAATTGTGGGCTAATACATGGTGCCAAGGCCAAAATTTATGTATACCCCTGAATTTGTTTGAATATCTCTGAAGATCGCAAAAGATCGCAGCCAATTTTCATATATATGTTTCTATAGAAAATTTCCTATGCAAGGGTTATAATTAGATAACTGCAATTGGCTGCAGTCATTAGATCTATTCCATTAAAAATATAATTTTTAAATATCTTTTTATTATTAATATTATTTTTTCTTAGAGTTAAAAATAAAACCTTTAAAATTGAGCTTTTGTCTAATGCAGAATAATCTTGAAGTACTAAATTATAATACACTGAAGAAACTATATAAATATCTGAAATATTTACCAAGATATAAGCATTCAAAATTAATATGCCGCTTCAGAAATATTACAAGAAAATTATTTTATTTTTAAAGTAGCAACTTTGAGCACCTATATTTCGGGTTAAAAGAACTCTGCAATATTTTTAGTTATTTTTCTATAGCATATGGAATGTTTACTGTTAACTATAATAACAAGCAAGACAATTGGAAAGCGTTTAATTTTTTATTTTTGTCGTTCTAAAAGTACCAAATGTCTCACTGTGCACTTGTTATAAAAACTTATTTCGAAATTCGTTATGTCGAGTACAAAATAGACTCATTTATTCGTAATATAAGGTACTCATAGGAAAAAATTTGGCCGTTCGTTAAATCCCGAATTCGCTAAACTGAGTATTCGTTAAACCGGGAAACCAGTGTATGTAGAGTCCGGTCTAAGTGAGAACCCATAAAAGGGAACTTTTTGGTACTTTTTCCTTCTTCAACAGGAACTTTTTGAAATTTCTAGAATATTTAACCTAGAAACATGAAATTAAGCATGTAGAGCCAGGATTAAGTGAGAACCTATAAAATGGGACTTTTTGGTACTTTATCGATATGAGAATCTGTAAAATTCTGTAAAAAAAAGCCCGGATTAAGTGAGAACCTATAAAATGGGACTTTTTGGTACTTTATCGATATGAGAATCTTTAAAATTTTGTAAAAAAAGCCCGGATTAAGTGAGAACCTATAAAATGGGACTTTTTGGTACTTTATCGATATGATAATCTGTAAAATATAACTTGTTGGTACTTTTTCGTTCTTAAATACTTACTTTTTCAGTTAACAACTGCTATTTTTGATTTTTGTAATAAAATTCGTACTGTCTGCTCCTTTATTTACACATCATGGTGATTCGGCACAGCCGAATATATAACTCTGACTTGTTTATATTGAGTTTTGACAACATAAATCGTTAAAGAAATCCGTACCAAATTAAAATTTATTTTAATTTGTTTATGAATTTTCTCTATTTTACATTTCATTTGTTTAATATTTTTCTCTGAATGCCAAGGAAAAAGAAGGAAAAATAAATTATGAAATACAAAAACAAGTAATAAAAAATGGCTGCAAATCCGCAACCGCAGCCGAACTCTTTTTAATTTGCATTTTCTCCCGGAACCAGAACAAGCATTCCCCTCTGCAAGTTTGTGTCATTCACCAGACACTTCGACTACAAATGTTTAACGCTTTCGATAGTTATAACTCGGAACCAATATTCTACTCTTAAATGCGGTTTATATGACGTATAAATCCATAATTTATACGGTTAATAGTATATTTGTGAAAAATTTTAAATGTTGACTGAATAACGTTAGAATCCGTTTTTCAATTTTTACAAATGAGGTTTCGTTGGATTACATTGAATTACATGACGTCCTGGAACAAGGACCATAAAACGGGAAATGTCCTATATTCTTGAGTATCTTAAAAAAGGGTATTTTGTTTTTCTTATTTTTTTATTACAAATAAACAAAATTATTGCGATGTTAAAATTTTAAAATGGGATCTCAATGGGTTTGCTAGTTATGGCAGTTTTCGCAGTTCAATATAACCTCACTACTAAAGTGGTAAAGTGTATAAAAATCAAATCTGATTACACTGCCGCTCACTTGAATTGGTTCACTATTTTCTTTACATTCAATAAATAATAAAGTAATTTGTTATATTAAAATTTTAGATAATAAAATAATGTCTTATAGATATATCACAAGAAAGACACAAGAAAAATTTTCGCATTACTTAATATCTGATTTTAAATCATTTTTTTCTAAAATACTACGTTTTTGAACAATATTTTTTTGGCTCACTTGATTAGGTTCCTTCAGAATAAAATCAGTTTACTGCTTGCCGTGGGTAAAACCCACTCATATTTTAGTGTCTGTGAATATTGACAATATATTAAAAAAAAGCTTACGGTAAGCCATTAACTAAAGAAGAATGTAAAAATTTTGGAGTGGCCTCCATACTCCTTATTAAATATTTTTAGGATATTCTTTCTCGTACATACATTATGTATGTATGTATATTGGACAGACATGACACAAAAGAAGCCTAAATTGAAGGAAACCACTAATTAAGAATATTTTTTATGTAACGAAAAATTTTTAGTTGATCTTTGAAATAGCATTTAACATATCGCTCATTTACTACAAGGCTGGTATAATCCAAAAAAGTCGTTTCGAGAAAAAATAACTCTCACACCGAGAATTATAGACATATTTAAAATTTGATAAATCTATATGAAAGACTTTAGAATGACGCATGTTTTCTAGCCCTCAGTTCAAAAAACACGAATTTTGGATTATGCCAGTCTTATAGTAAATGTGTTTTATTATAATAATAACATTGTATATATTTTTATGCAAATAAACAAATGAAAGTAGAATACTAACGTAATTTGTATTAAATATTTATTTAAATTATTATTTATTTATACATATATATATGCAAGAATGATAAACTAAAGATTACGCCTTGCGCATGATTTACAGTTAGATGGCGTTTCATGTGTAGAAATTACAATTTCTTGAAAAACTCTTATGTATATTATAATAGTTGGTAACCCTGCAATTTAATTTACTTTGGCAAGTTAGAAAAAAATACTACATCAGTTCTTGAAAAATATGAAGAATTTCGCCTTAAATTTGTTCAAGTATAACACCGTCCGACACTGAAAATTAGACACGAACCGGATGATATACGTCTGAAACTAGAAATTTAATGGAGAAAAACTGCGTTTTTAGTTTTTCATTTCGTGATCCTGTGTCTTTTTTAAAGGACTTCAAAGTTTTAAATAGTGCATTTTAAAAAAAAATATATTTAAAAATACTTCTACTGATCAACCAAAGCCAAATTTGATGTCAAGCAAACAAGAAGAGTTGTAAAATATTTTATGTAATTTTTATTTTATTCTGCCAGGTTCAAAAGATGTAAAAAATGTCTTTCAAAATTTTTTGGAAAAATTAAATTGAAAACCTTAATAGATATTAAAGGATACATATTTTAAAATACATTTTGGACATCTTTTTATCCTGACAGTATAAAATAAAAATTATACAAAATATATTCCAACTCTTTTTGTTCACTTGACATCAAATTTGGCATTGTTTGATCAGTAAAAATATTTTAAAATATTTTTGGAAAAATGTTCTTTTTAAAATTTTGAAGTCCTTTAAAAAGGACACAGGATCACGAAATGAAAAACTAACAACGCAGTTCTTCTCCATTAAATTTATAGTTTCAGTCGTATATCATCTGGTTGATGTCTAACGATTTTTTTCTCTTTTTGTTGGACGGTGTAACATTAAAAAATATAAAATGATAAATAAGTGTAGTGGAGTGCGGTAAAAAGGATCCAGAACATAGAAAAACGAAAACAAAATTTAGAGGAAGAAACATAAACATGGAGTGAACAGTGGACAAATGTAATCAAAATTAATATTCAAAAAAACGAGTGAAAAATTTTGGAAAAAGTTTTACATTGTGCTCTTTTTTACATATTTTTTTTCACTTTTTAGTATTTAAAATATTATTAAATATTTTTTATAAAAGAAATTGCAATAAATAAATAAATTTGTAAAAAGAATGGATACTATCCATTCATTTTTAGATAAAAAATAATAAATTATAAATATAAACTGTTATATTTATAGCTGAAAATTATTAACCAATAGGAACACAGATTGTGTGACGTCAGAGCTCCTATATGTGCAGAAAGTTTTAATTATGTTCGCCTGACGACGTAATCTTTAGTTTATCATTCTTGCATATATGTACTTTAACATTTAAAATACTTACAATTTGATAGAAAAGTTTTACTAATTTGGTATTTCTCCACCAATTCTCGTGACAGTTCGCATCTCATATATTTTTTATTTTCCACATTTACTACTATGTTGATGAGTACAGCAAATGTGCAAATTGTTTTCACGAATCTCGAAGAATTCAAAAGCATTATCTGAAATATATGTATATAGTGTGCAATTTAGGGATATATTTATCTTATACAATTTTTGAAAATATCAACCCGGGCTTTATGCATTACATATGTATGTACATTTGGGTAATAACCGAAATTAGATTCAATCACTACGTGGTAGCCAGTAGTGTTCTAATAACGAAAACCGTTTCCCCAGGTAATTTTGATGCAAAAACTTTCCGCGGCAAATCGATTTTCTGAAACCTTTCACAAACAAATTTACATGAATTTTTTATATAATAATCTAAATGTTTTGGCAGCCTCTATCCTTGCTTTTCCTTCGGGTAAATATCGTGGGTCCAGCAATAACACTTGTTTACATCAAAAATTTCCGATTTTGTATTAATAAATTTAATATTATGTTAGAATAAATATCGGAGAAATTAAAGCATTTGCCGCGGAAACTTTTTAATGCTTTCAACGTATTCTATATTGAATGGAATTTTTTTTTAATTTAAAAAAATTGAAAAAAAATAATATAATTTTGACATCTATTGCGATAAAATGTGAATATAATACGTATATCTCTAAAACCTACTAAAAATAATTTTGTAAACCAAAAATACTCTAACGAAATAAATTTTTAAAATGAAATTAATTAAAATTATTTTTCCCATAATCAGCTCAAAATTACCGAATTTTTGAGATCCATTTCGAAAAGATTACAGATATTTTTTTAATATACTGCACTGAGATTAATTTTTTCCATCGACAGTAGGGAACTGATGCCCTTTTTCAAAAATCAAATTTTTTTATTTTTGTCGTGTTCAGTACATAATCAGCTCAAAATTACCGAATTTTTGAGATCCATTTCGAAAAGATTACAGAAATTTTTTTAATATACTGCACTGAGATAAATTTTTTCAATCGACAGTAGTGAACTGATGCCCTTTTTCAAAAATCATATTTTTGTCGTGTTCAGTACATTAATACGCATCGATTGAGAGGTATTTCTACATGAGATTCTTAAAAATAATGTTCCTCGGAACACTAATGTTTATATCGTCACTTGAAACCAAAAAATTAAAATCGATTTCATTATTGATTCTAATGTATTATATCAAAACAAATGTCCACAAATAAGAATATTGGACTCCTCCGACCAAAATTGGAGATTTTAATAACAAAAAACCAACTATAATTTTTTGATACTTTTGTGATATTTAACAATAAAGTTTGAAAAACTTTATTCATCAGATGAAACAAATATTAAACAACAACAACAAATACTTAAATTTCTCAGCTAAAATTAATGGAGTACATGACCCATTCAAGTAATCCCATGTTGCGGATCATGTACTCCTATAATTTTATCAAGGGAGTAGTTTTGGCATTACTATGATGTAATGCATAGATTGAATACGTGGTCCTCACATAGGACATCGCAATGTTAAATGGAGTATGTTTTTTTCATATATTTGTATTAGTTTTGGACCAGTCCTAATCTTTTGAGGAGTACTTTTTATACGCGTGTGTCAATATACACACAGAAAAAAGATCGATAGGAAATCAGTTACCATTAAAAATATTTAGTTAAGTTAATAAAAATTCCATCGTTGATATTAAAAATCTATAAAATTAACTGATTTTCTATATTCAGAACCGAAAATCTATAATTGCAATCAAATTTATGTTTCAACAATATTCAAATTAGTCAATTTAAACGAATTGTTCTTTCATAAAACTTTTTCAAAAATTCGGTAAATACAGCCGAATTTAATTTAGCATTTAAACCGAGGAACTTCAAATATTAGTTGCTGTAACCAACAAACAGTACAAAGGAAAATATTTTGATAATTGCAATCAATTGTCTATTGGAAGCATACTTTTAAAATGAATTATTGTATAAGAAACCAAATTCGATGTTTACAACCGACAATTGGTGGTTAAAGGTGACGTCTAAAAAAAATTAAATAAAATAAACAAAACATATAAATTTAAAAGCTAGAAAAATGGAATTATATTTAAATACAAAAGGATAAGGAAGAATAGGAGGAAATAAGGTATTATTAATCTAAAATTAATTTTTGTGTTGTCCTTTTGTATTTTTGATATGTACATTTTTTACAGCAGCGGAAAAGAATGCGTGTGTGCAATTATAGTATCTATAAGGCAGAGAAAAGCAAATTTGTTAGTACACGGACGCTGTTATTCATATTTACGACCCCAATAGTAGATGATAGAAGTTATTTTTTATAGTTTGTAAGTTTATTTGGTATTTTAAATGAAATAACATAATTTTGTACAAATTTATAATTTTCAAATACAATCCACAAAAAAGTTTATAATAAATAATATTTCAGTTGCCAATACGGATAGTTTTAATTCTGATAACTTAATTGTTATTTAAAAGAATTTTCAATACAATATATTCAGTAATGCCAACCGAATTTTACAGTCATCACAATAGTTTTTTGTGGTAGTTGTGAGAACCGACTGAATTCGATTGGCAACAAATTCGGTAACCACAACGAATCTGTTTTCTCTGTGTATATATACATTTTTTTTAAATATAAATATCCCTCATAAGTTTGTCATTCCGTTTGAAATTTCTATAATATAATTTTCCGACCCTATAAAGTATATATATTCTGGATCCTTATAGGTAGTGAACTCGATTTAGCCATGTCCGTCTGTCCGTGTGTATGTTGAAATAAGTTTTCAGAACTTTGCGAGATCCGAATCTTCAATAATCAGACATACTACCTATCAGACATACTACCTCTGAAAATTTCATAAAAAATTTCCTAAGTTAGTGAAAATCGGCAGGAAATGATTTTCGGTACTATTTCATTCTATGACTGGTATTTTTTGCTTTTATACACACAGGTAGTACCCTGATGATTGAAAATCTTTAAACTAAGATTCTCTAGTACTTTTTTGTTTAACGACTGGTATTTTTGGACATGCGCTTACAATAAAAATATACTACTTTCAGTTATTATTTAAAATTATTTTGCAAACTTAATTTCCAAAAATGATTGTGATGAATTGAAATATATAAACTGAATAATACTTATAATGGAATTTAAAATTTTTAGAGAAATAATTTTTTCTACACTAAATTTTTAGTTATTATTATTGCTGCACTATTTTTTCAACAGAGTAATGTTTCACTTAATTAAAGGCATTTAAATACAAAAATGACATAATTCAAATAAAAACATAAACAATACATTATACAGAAAAAATGAGCCATAATTGGCATTAATAGCTCAGGAAAATGAGGGTTTTGTTGCGTAATTATATCGCTTAGAGCACACAATATTTGCGGTGACTTTTAATCCCTTACAAATTAACCTAAGAAGAAGCTATGTGTCTATTTTCATTTAGATATCTAAAATTCACCAGATTGCCATTTTTTTTTTTTTTTGATAATTTTTTGTGGCATAAGTGATAAAGTCTCAAGTGCCAGATAAAATTTGAACTAATACATAGCGAGCTTTTAAAATTTTTTAAGCAAATTTTTTATTGGGCTACAACACCACCCATATTCAGTAAATAATCCGATCCATGTCGCTTTTCGGCTATATTCAAAAAATTATAAAAGAGAATATAATTTTTCCCATCGATTTTAATTACAGTGTTACAGTGAGTAAATAAAAACTATTGATACCCTGCATCAGCTATAATTTTGTAGTTGTATATGGGCGTTTAGGTCAATTATGGGCGCATTCTCACTAAATTTGTAAAACAATTCCTAATTATAATGAACGATTTCCCCTATGGGAGCATTATGGACCGAATTATACAGAGTTTGACTGTCAAACTTCTACATACATAAAATTTATTAGATACATTAAATTTTATCATCGCGATACTAGTATTAATACAAGTATTAATAATTATGAGCATAAAATACATTTACCAAGAGTGAACTTGTATGTAACGTCGAAATAACGTTGAATAATTTCTAGACCAGAAAATTGCATCTCAATGTTTTAGAATGTATTTGATATATTGTGACAAGCGGCATTCTGAACAAATAATATTCCTTTTCACTTTTTTCTATTTCGACATACAGGGAAATATATCTCGTCATCAGCTTTGAATCATCGAAATCTAGTTTTGCGAATATTTAAGAGGCATGGTTGTGTTTTTTTTATTTCTGATTCTATTTATAGTGACACTGGACTATTTATATTTTGCGCTAAGCTCCTCATTTTTTTAAAATTTAAATTGCAGGATTTTCCCGCTTTTGAAAGGTTAATCCCGACTTAGATTTCAATCCCACTTTTTAATAAAAAATTCCGCTTTTTACATAACAGGTCAATCATCCTTATTTTATTGAAATCAATTTAGGATTTATTATTTAAAAGTATAAAATTTAAACTTTAAATTTAGAAATTTTGGTAGAAAATAGAGATTCTATAGAAATATTCTAGTATTTTTTAATAACTTCAAAATGTGGGTAAATATAGACATCCACTTCTAAATAAAACTGTTTCAGTTCGATTTGTAAAGTCATTGTTTTAAAAAATCATATTATTTTAAGCGACAAGTGAAAATTAACTTTTTTGGAACTGTGACTTTTAACTTATGTAGCTGTGCTTTTTTGCCGAGTGAGTACAAAAAAATCAATTAAATTTTATGACCAGTATTTTAAATACCCGACCTAATAGAGATTTTAATTTATTCTCACTTAACGTGACTCTGTATATGACCGTCAGGAGAACTAAGTATTTCCGTTTGTGTTACCATTTTGATTTGTTTTATTTTTTAACTGATATTTCAGAGTGATTTTTATCGAATGTTCCGGATACACTATGTTTCTTCACTACTCAGATTTTAGTCAGAATTCTCGAGGGATATACGAAATATGGGCATTTCCACCGAAAAGTCTACTTTTGCACATCACGTCACGCACCATTAACTGCGTATATCTAGAGAAAAATATTTTTATTTTTAAATTGTTTACATTTTTATATAGAGCTCTAATAGTAGGAATGGTCCAAAGATATTGTCAATTAGTGTGCGTG